AAGTTATAATAATAAAAAGCCATCAGTCAAATTTAAACATCATCTGAAGAGAAAAACAAATAAATACAGTATATTCTCAAAGCTAAAAGGTGTCATGAAGGCACAAGAGGAAAGGTACTGAAGTAAGAATGGTACATACAGTATCACCAGTGGACCAATTATTAACAACAGCTGAATTAAACTGAGTGGGGGGAAACCCAAGTTTTTCCAGAGCAAAGTTTCCAGAATATTGAACCTAATGGGCTTCATAAAAAACGGAGAATTTACAAGTGAAGTAACTTCACTTCCTAATGAGTTGGAATTCATATCCTTAAAAAGTGAGAGGGATTGGATATATATGTGTAGCAATGTTGAAACAGACAGGGAACTGTTAGCACTGTGGGAGACAGCATAGTAAAATAATGAGTCTCTTCCCAGTTTGAAAGTACATTTGCTTCAGTATGCAGTGTTGGAGGTAATATTAACCTGCTCACCAAGACTACAGAAATGAAGATGAGACTTCTTCATGCTTACTTATACGGATCTTTAATTTTAAACTTATTCACTTGTTCATGTTAATTCCTTTGGACTACCTTGTGACACCTTTAATGACAGAATTGAATCTTTACTCCATTTACTAGGTAAGAGCCCAGTATCAATCATTTTTTGCCCACAACATGGACATGAGGAAGACTGAGGTCACTCACAGAATAGACTTTCATCCCTTTAATGCATAATGTGTTCTTACTGTAGTGGCACTCAAAGGTCGCATTAAAGTTTCAGAAATTTAACACACTGGATAATTTTTCATTGATTTATCATGTAATTTAAAAAAGTAAAGCCCAAACTGTATTACTCACTGAATTAGACAGAAGTTTTCCATGAGCACTTTAGATAATCTAGTTTACTGGTTGAAAGTATTTTTAATACAGATTTTTCAAGTTTTTTATGTATTTTCTATGTGTCATATTTAAAAAAAATGCGGCTAAATAAATCTAGATTACTTTTCAATTTGAGATCACATCAAAGAAAATAGGATTTATAAAAGCAAGCTTACTTCCATTGTCCTGAGGGTAGGAACATGTAATTATTTAATCATATGACACACTTCAACCTGAAAAGTTTCTGCCCATTGGCTAAGCCTTCATAAACGATTAGTTTTAGCTTACTTCATCTGGGAGGCAAAACATACACATTTTAAATATTTTCAATGTGAGTCAACATGACAGTCTTTTTCTTATGGTTAGAGTATACATAGATGGAAAGTTGGGACTTCTCTGCTCAAAATTTTTTTTTTACTTCTAACAATTACACAAACCATGGACCAATGTGGTAAGGGCTGAGCAACTTTGATTTAAGGCAATTCATCAAATTCACCTCCTGAATAAAGTTACACTATACAAGTTTCCATTTGAGTAAAAAATATTATTCAACCTTAGAAAAGAAAGCCTTGAGCCTACTGATGAATTCCATCAATAAAAACACGATTGAAGGTTATATAGATTTGCAGTATTGAATAGTTAGCATTATTAGAGCTCTTCAAAATTTCAAGAGCACTTTAGTTCTGAAGACTGAAATGGTCATAATAATGTGAAGTGCTCTCATAATTTTAAATCACTCTATACTGCAGATCCCCAAATTCTTATTACTGTTAAATTTCAGCTGCTCATTTATTATAATCAACATATTGGTTTAGAAAAGTGTTGCACTGCCTTTTTCACTAAGGCTCAAAACCTCATTCTAAATATACAGTGAAATTAGCTGGGCTTTATGAATGATTTCCTTAAAAATGCAAAAACAACAAATCAACAAACCAAGCCACCCAACAACCTTGATAAAAACTTATTATATCAGCTGAAGTAAAAACACAGAAAAGTTGTTTTAGGTAAATTTGTCACAATTTTTTTAAAATATGGAAATTAAACAAAATAGAACACAGTTGGCTATTGGTAACATTCTTCTTTCATTTGTTAATACAAATATTTTTGGGAGCAATCTACTGTCAAGTAGCTAATTAACTACTTCTTTCTCAATAGAAACAGTATGAGAAATGACAGTGAGATATGCACATAAGTATGTTAAGAAACACAGTTTACAGAGAAACCATATAAAACACTGCTAGAAGTCTGTTCCTTTTCTCTATACCTAATCACAGAACCAAAGAACCATTGAGGTTGGAAGGGACCTTTTGAGACCAGCTAGTCAAAAGTCCCTGTTTAAGCAGGACCAACTACATCAGGTTCCCCAGGACCATAGCCAGTCAGATTTTGAATACCTCCAAGAATGAAGACTTCACAACTTCTCTGGGAGAACTGTTCCAATGTTTGGTCACCTTCACAGTGAAAAAGTATTTTTTGTTTTTCATGGTTTTTAGTTTGAGCCCATTAACTCTTTTCCTGACTGTGGGTATTACTGAGAAGAGTCTGTCTGTCTCACCTTAATTCCCTTTCAACATGCATTTATACACATTGACAAAACACACCGGAACCTTCTCTTCTCCAGGCTGAACAGTCCCAGCTTTCTAAAGGTCTCCTTATATGAAAGAAGCTCTAGTCCCTTCACTGTTTCAATCATCCTTCACCGGACTCAAATTAGTAATTCCATACCTTTCTGGAGAACATTCCATATCTTACTGGGGAACCCAGAACTGAACACAGGACTTCAGATGATGTCTCACCAGTGCTGAGTAGAGGGAAAGGATCACCTCTCTCGACCTGCTGGTCATGCTCTTCCTAATGCAGCGTAGGATGCTTTTGTCCTTATTAGCTGCAAGTGTGCATTGCTGGCATGTGTTCAACTTGGTGTCCACCAGGACTAACAGGTCCTTTTCTGCCAAGGTGCTTTCCAGATAGTCATCCCACAGCATACATGGGTTCCTTGGGTTGTTCCTCCCCAAGTGCAGGACTTCGCACTTCCCCTTGTTGAACTTCATGAGGTTCCTGTCAGCTCAATTCTCCAGACTGTCCTTAACATCCTTTCTTGTTGCCCTTCACAACCCACACCAGACTCAACTCTGGTTTGTTGCACTGCCTTTTTTACCAAGGCTCAAAAGCTCATTCTGAATATACAGTGAAATTAGCTGGGCTTTATGGATGATTTCCTTAAAAATGCAAAACCAACAGACCAACAAACCAAGCCTCCCAACAACCTTGATGAAAACTTATATCAGCTGAAGTAAAAACACAGAAAAGTCAAAGCCAGGTCGGCTTTGTCTTTCCCAACTCCATCCCTTTAGCGTTGGTCACCAACTCTATATTCCTCCTGGGTCATCTGTTCCTGCTTCTACCTCTTGTAAACTTTCCTGTTATGTATGAATTGAGTCAGGAGCTCCTTCCTCATCCATGCAGGTCTCCTGTCACATTTGTTTTATTTCCTACTTGTCAGGAAGGACCATTCTTGGGTTTGGAGGAAGTGATCCTTGAATGTCAGCCAGCTCTCCTGGACCCCTCTCCCCTCTAGGGTAATCTTCCATAGGATAATTCCAAGCAGATCTTTAAAGAGGTTAATGTCTGTTCTCTCAAAATCCATGGCTGTCATCCTGTTTTTTTGTCCTGTTTACTCCTCTTAGGATCCTGAACTCCATCATCTCATAGTCAGGGAATCACAGGCAGTCCAGTCTCACCTTGATCCCTGGGAAGGTGATGGAACACCTAATCCTAAAAACCATTTACACACACATGAAGGGCAATAAAATCGTCAGGAGTAGTCAGTATGTATTCATCAAGGGGAAGTCATGTTTGACCAACTTGATAAGCTTCTATGATAAAATAGCTGGCCTGGTAGATGAGGAGAGCAGTAGATACTGTCTATCTAGACTTTGGTAAAGCTTTTGACACTGGCTCCTATAAGTTTCTTATAGACAAGCTGTTGATGTATGGGTTGGATGAGCAGACAGCAAGGTGGATTGAAGACTGACTGAATGGCTGGGCCCAGAGTGTGATGATCTGTGCAACAAAGTCTAGCTGGAGATAAGGAACTAGCAGTGTACACCATGGGTCCATAATGGGCCCAGTCCTGTTTAACATCTTAATTAACAATCTGGATGATGGGGGAGAGTCTACTCTCAGAAAATTTGCATATGACACAAAATTGGGAGGAGTGGCTGGTACGCCAGAGGGTGAATTTGCCATCTACAGGGATCTCAGCAGGTTGACTAAATGGGAGAGTGACTGAGCACTGATAGAGTTTGCCCAAAGAGGCTGTGAAGTCTCCATCCTTGGAGATATCAAAAGTCATCTGGACATGGTTCTGGGCAACTGGCTTTAGATGGCCCTGCTTGAACAGAGGAATTGGACAAGATGACCTCCAGAGGTCCCTTCTAACCTCAGCCATTCTGTGATTCTGTGATTCCATTTGTAAGTACCAGGTCCTGCAGAGTACTTCATTGTTGTCTTCTTGATCACCTGTGTCAGGAAGCTGTCAATGCTCTCCAGAAATCTCCTAGATTGGTTGTGCTCTGCTGTGTTGTCCTTCCAAGTTAAAGTGTGGTTAAAGTTCCCATGAGGACCAGGGTCTGCAAACTTGAGGCTTCTTCCAATTGTTTGAAGAAGGCCTCATCTATTTCTTCTTCCTGATCAGGAAGTCCATAACACACACCCACTACAACAGCAGCCATATTGCTCTGCCCACTAATCTTGACCCATAAATTCTCCACTGACTCCTGACCCATCCCAAGGCAGAGCCCCATGCATTCCTGATGATCTCTCACAAAAAGTGCAATGTGCGCCGCGGTCACTTTCCTAGCCTGTCCTTCCGAAAGAGCCAGTACCCATCCATTGCAGGACTCCAGCCACGTGAGCTATCTCACCTCTTCTGTGATCCCAGTGAGGTCATACCCATAACTGCACACAGACTTCTCATTCCTCCTGGTTGTTCCCCAGGAATTCATATCTAGGTTACAGTTCACATAATGATAACACTGAAACGTGGGCTTAGCATTAATTCTTCAGTATGTATGTCCTGGACACCACTTTTTTAGAAGTTTTCATCTTCAAATATTGCCTCTTACTCATGGTACTTACCTAGAGGTTCCCAGCGAGGAGATAAAGAGGTAATGATGTAAAGAATAGCTGCAATTGCATCCTTGAGTCTAGAAGGGGAAATGATGTCTCTTAAAAGTTTGTCAACATAAATTATAAGTAATATGTAATGGCTGACACTCTGCAGTGGCTTAAAGAGTTGTTGGCTGGTTAATGCCACAATCTCAAATTGGCCAATCAGTTTAAAACGCAGTTATGGCAGAGATACTATAAAGGAAATCTCATCATTTCTGTAAAAGAATGCAAGGGAGACTGAGGTCATCACTTGCCAAATTTTGCAAGTGCATCACTTGCAATTTTGTCAATGGACATTTTCTTCCATAGCTTTAAGTTGTGAGCTGAAGCAATGCGTGTCACATAGCAGAAACTGTTATGACTGACTCTAGAGATCCAGCAAATCAAACCTTATGCAAGGATGTGTCCATGGAGATGACAAACTTCTCTAACCACTGGGGTCTCAGGGAAGGCACTAACCTTATGTGCTAGAAATGCAGCAATGGCCTGAGTGGCTGTATCTGTACCCATTTTCTTGAGTTGTCAGAAAGCAAATGAAGCTCTGAAAAAAACATTTGATTTGGGCTGAGGTAACAATCATTTGGCACAGTAGCACTGACTGTAAGCACTTTCTGTTTCCTCCCTTGAAATATAAAATTTATTTTATATTTGGAGCTGCCTTACTTTCATGACAGCGCAGTGTCTTCATATAATCTGTCTTCGTTGCACTCCACACCGGTGAACTAATCTGTTTAACCTAATCTGAAGGCAGGTTTTTGTCCCTGGATTTAGAGTGGTAAATAAATGTAAACAGGGTTGAATGGGTAAAGGAATAAACTGTAAATAAAGATAAGAAACACTTAAAAAGAAGGTATTTTTTTCTATTTTTCTGATATGCTACAAGGTGAAACTCTGAATGACTAGAGCCATTCCTTTTTAGTTTTATCCCGGAAAGAGTTGACCCTGAGGATTTGCATTTGCATTTGTTACAGCAAGAGAGAGCTAGGTCCTTCTGGCAATGTTCACTGTTGGGAAGGTTGGTGTGCTTGCCCAGAGGGATGCCAAGTTCTGCTGTGTTAGTGCACTCTCCCACTCTCCTTCCTAGCTCTTCAACAGCTCTTCGCCTGGGCCTTTGGTGATCTCACATGGCCTCACTTAAGGTTTCATTTGAGGTATATGTTCATGCGGTCCTGAACCACAGCTGGAAAACTGACTGGATGAGCATCATATCACTGAAGATATCTGTTTGTTTGCAAGAAGGCAATTTTTTTTTTTGCTGGGGAATTATCTTCCTGTGTTTTCTTTGTGTAATTAATAATAAGGGACAGTGTTGTCATAATCAAGGTATTTGCTGAAAGAGGAAACAAGAAATATGCCATGAGTGAGATTCAGTCTACTTATGATTGCATGGCATGCAGCACTCAATATGCAAGATTTGGGCACTCTAAACTTTCTGTGCTTCCCTTGGGAACTTTGGTAAAGTACATATCCATCCACTTGAGTTTGGATTGCAGATTTTCATGGAGCTTTTGACAGATCAAGGCACTTTTTCCCCAGAGTAGGTATGGCTCAGCATCAGTGGGAAACTACACTCATACTCCTCACCTAAACCTTAAGAAACGATACAGCTTCTGTGCATGCTGAAAAGCTGAAAAACAAGAAAATGCATAATTTATGCTAGCTCTAAAAGGGTTAACAGTTTTGGAATGTAATAGGTGGAACTTCGTTAATATTCAGAAGCTGAGTCTTGATACTAACTAGGAGAAACTAGGACAGATTTGATCCCCCCTTCATACGCTCTGTCAGGAAATATTTATTGGTTTATATATGGTAGGAATGGAAAATAAAAAGCTTACTTCTGTGTCTATATTATTTATTCAATACCTCCATTTACTTTACAGAACCTGATGGTATCTTTATGCCCACGACTCTGTAGAGGTTTTTTATATATGTTAACAGCTCTTCAATAAACTTGAATTTTATGATTTTTACAGCATTGTAAAACAGAACCGAGAAAGTTTTAATGGACACTACGTTCACAAGCGTTACCAATGCATGTTTTTCCATCTTCTGCCAGCTTGTAAGTATCAGTATGGAGACATTTGTAGCTGCCTTTAGTGTTAATGCATTTAGCAGAAGAAGAGCATGGTGGATTAATTTCATTTTCGCATTCATTGATATCTGCAAAATGAATACACACTGATCAATAATCATTACATATTACATAGAGGGATTACTAACTTCTCATACACACCTTCTAAAAGTATTCATAAGTGAACAATATTGTACACTTTCAATGACACATAGATACTGCCAAAGATCCTCATTGTTACTGTTTAAAGCACAATGTTGTGTGTTTTTTTGTTTTGTTTTGATTTGGGGTTTTATTTGTTTGTTTTTAAGTTGGAAATGATGAAAAAAAAGCTGTTTTGTTAATACTCCAAAAGCTACAAATGCAATTGGCAGAATTTTCAAAAATGCAAACTGTAAACTTGAGAGCTCTTCTTGCACGTATTTATGTCCTAAGACTTTGAGTTTTTCTATAAACTTTTTCCATACTGTGCTCTATAGAGATAGTGAAAATAAGAACACTGGCACAGTTCTACACACTCCTAGGCATGATTTTGAGGAGCCAAGAATTTTGGTTACCTTTGGTTACAGAATTTATAACAGTAATCTGTAATATCACTGCACAGATGGTTGTTTCTAGATGCTATATAAATTTTGTGAAATGACAATACCCTGACAGAATGATGAGCAGATGAACAATTATCCACTGGAAAATGTACATAAACATATTGTTCCCAAGGCCATTGAAGACATTTCACTCTAATGATGAAATGGGAGACAGTGTGGAGTGCAGGAAAGAAAGTACTCTGAAGGGAAGAATGGAGTCTTTTCCATATTTCTGCATCTTTCTTCTTTCTGTGTAATACTTACTTGCAGGATTGGATTCAGTTTCCTAAAGATAGGTTTCCAGCACTGTTTTAGATAGTTTCCCATTGGTCCTGCACAATATGTGGCAGCGTGATCAATGTCTCTGACCCATGGTCCTGGGAAGCACTGCAAGCCCCTATGTGGGCAACTAGCTGAGCCTTCAGTGTCTTCTCTTTTTGTGCCTTCTCTTTTCCTTACCTATCACAATGTTTGATTTGCTACTTCAGGGAAGTAGCTCTTTTTGACCAGTATTAGAAATTGACCCCGTGGGAATGATATATTGACTTATTTTAACATTGTCACTCAGACCACTTAGGGAATTCTATGACTGGAAATAGGATCAAGCCTGATCCTCTCTTAAATTTTCATACAAGGCAGTAGCTGTGCCCAAACCTAGCCATCAACTGAGACAGTCAAGAGGCTAATCATGCAAGGAATAATCTTAAACTTCAGAACCCTTAAGAAACATTAACTCTCATAACACCTCTCTGAAGCAGGACAATAATCTGTTGCTCGGGATGAAGACTGCTGAATAAGTGTTATTCAGGAAATGAAATCAACGAATGGGCCCTTGTGAACATCATGAGGTTTAACAAGGCCAAGTGCAGAGTTCTGCATCTGGGTCAGGGCAACCCCCGGTAGCAGTAGAGGCTGGGGGATGAAGGGATTGAGAGCAGCCCTGCTGATAAGGACTTGTGGGTCCTGGTGGATGAAAAGCTGGACATGAGCCTGCAATGTGTGCTCGCAGCCCAGAAGGATAACTGTATCCTGGGCTGCATCCAAAGCAGCATGGCCAGCAGGTCAAGGGAGTTGATTCTGCCCCTCTATTCCACTCTGGTGAGACCCCACCTGGAGTCCTGCATCCAGCTCTGGAGCCCTCAGCACAGGAAAGACATGGACCTGTTGGAGACGGTCCAGAGGAGGCCACAACAATGATCAGAGGGATGGAACACCTCTCCTGTGAGGACAGGCTGAGAGAGTTGGGGTTGTTCAGCCTGGAGAAGAGAAGGCTCCGGGAGACCTTATTGTGGCCTTCCAGTACTTAAAGGGCCCTTATAAGACAGATGGGGACAGACTTTTTAGCAGGGCCTGGTGTGATAGGACAAGAGCGATAGACAAGGTGGCAGATGCACCATCCTTGTAAACAATCCAGGTCAGGTTGGACGGGGCTCTGAGCAACCTGATCTAGTTGAAGATGTCCCTGCTCATTGCAGAGGCATTGGGCTAGATGACCTTTAAAGGTCCCTTCCAACCCAAAGATCCTATCTTTCTATGATTCTATGTTTACCCCTTCAAGACTACATTTTAGGTTAACTGCATCTCTCCCCCTGGCTTCATCGCCGTCTGCGAAGGAAAACCTGCAGAGGCTTTACCTGCACTGTGCTGCAATGTGCTATTTCAGCTTTTGTAGATCCAGTCATGCTATCTGTTAACTAGCCAAGACTTTTTTGCATCACTAGATAGTGCATGTCAGATCTTAACCAGCCTACCCTACTACTCAAAGAGAGCAGTGCTTTATTAAAGCAAAGTAAACAGAGTTATCTATCAAGAGTAAAATAACATTCAGTATAAAGGAAGGTATCATAGTCTAGCACTAAATGACTTCCTGAATAAATAGAAATGATTTCTGTCAAAGCCAAAGTTAGTAAGCAGGAATTAACAGCTCTTAGATTCCTATGCTTTTGCCAACACGCCATTCTGTCTTTTCCAGAGCAGCATGTAATTTTGAAACCATCTGCAGAAATGCTAAGCTCTATCCTCCTCATTATATTGCTTGACTTATTCCTAATTTGCTGAACATTTAAAAGAATGGGAACACATTGCACAAACATGTATGGAACAAAGTGCTTTCTACTGTAAAACTCAAGTAGCATCTGCATAAGTGGGTTTTGATGGTTTTCTGTTAATAAAGGCATTGCTTATTTAGTATATGCAGCAGCTTGTTTCCTATAGCAGATATACAGTCTTTTGTTTACATTACTGAACATATTAAAAGAAACTGGGACAAGGAATGATTCATTCATATAACTTATTTATTCAGTTTGCTGCCAGAACATTAATGTATTGAAAAGGTTTTATTATAATTCATTTAACAGCTTTATTTCTTTATATGGTATTTATGTGGGTGGAATTCAGTGGATAAATAGGATTTGAATAAAGGAAAGAGCTGCAAATTTCATTTGACTTTTTCCATACCAGGTATACAATTAGAATGAATAGCTTTCTATTCTGCTGCCACAGAAATACTGATAAGCAGACTTTATTGCGGATCAGCTGCAGCACTTGCATTCAAATTACTTTACCACCATCCATAATATATTCCTAAATATGGCCTTTTCTGCTTTCATTTTCTCTCATGTTCTTATAAAGATGAGCAGTTTAAGTATGTGTTTATTTATATATAAATAAAAATATATACACACACATTCCATTATGTACATACACATTTGAAATGTGAACAGATACAATTCAACCTTCATAGCTGCAACGAGTGAAGGTCTTGTGAGGAAGTATTTGCCACATTCTCTTTCTTCCTATCCTATTCTATTCAACAGTAAAAACAAGGCAAAAGGAAATGAAAAAATAAAAGAATAATTAAAACAACAGAAAAGTATTCCCTTAAAAACACGTGTGAAATGTCAAAAGACAGTATCTTTTTACTGATTTTTCACTGGCTCTACTTTTGTACATGCAAAAGTAATTCACTTCCGGCAAATATTTTCACAGTTGTTTGGGAGAGGGAAGTTGGAACTGAAGTGATAATTAATTTGCTTAATTTCATTTATGCACTTCCCAGTATTTTTTTCTTTGTCACTTTTGCTTAACTTATTAGGATGATACATGAAGTACGGGTACTAAGTTCATTTTGTATGTAGAGCATCCATTGAAACAAAGTTAGGGAAGTGACAACTGTCTGTCTTGCTGTTATGTTCAATGTTGGAGGAAATAATGTATAATTCTGAATTATTGCTTTTTTTCCTACTGGTTTTTAACAGACTCAGTTTTTGCTTAATTGGGTAATTTTTAGTGACATTTTCCTATCATCAACTTGATTGCTGAATTAGGATGGGTAGAGATTGAGACAGCAATTCTGGAGCAAGGAAACTTTCATATTATCATGTTGTACCTATAAACCCAGAAAGTTGAATACAACAGAGCATAGGAGGAAGTTCACTTCTGATGAGTTGTGCTGGACTTTAGCTTTTAGAAAATTCAGAAACAAAAAATAGATACCTATACAAATGGGAGCCTCAAAGTTCCATCCTTCACTTGTGCAGGTTAATTGCTCTTCTCCTTTTAATCTAAATCCGTATCGACACGAGTAAGTCACTGTAGACTTTCCAAATTCTGCACAGTATACAAAATCACCATTTTCCACACTCTTTGGTGTTCCACATATTTCCTCTACAAATAAAAAGACTGTATTACAAGCTTTTAGAAAATTACCACCATACCCTCGCAAATGGACATTATTCTCCATTAGTGTTATAAATTAACTTCAGTGAAATTACTCACATGTTTTAAGGTGATCAGGAATTTCATTGTTAATTTCTTGACAAGAATTTTTATGGAATACATCAGGTTTGACTTATAATCCTTGTAAGATTAACATAATCTTCTAACAGGATGTACTGCAAAGTTCTTAGTTAATATTTTATATCTGTCCAAGAACTCCTGCCCCAATTGCCATAATGTCTGGATATCTCACAAGCCATTCATGTTATCAGAGATGAGTTGGCAAACACTATGTTTTTTATAGAGGAAGGTGCGAGAGAAGGAGAGAAAGATCTAGTTCCCATTTCTAAGTGGTAGAAATACTAAAGATGTGCATCAGACCAGTAACTCAAGACCTGCCATAAGCAAGGTCAGTGCCCTAACTGGTGATTACTCTCCCCTCCTGTCAGAAAAGATTGGTAATTACCAGATTACCTTCCTGATAGAATTCTTGCCAAGCTTCTAAATTAATCCCAGGTATATCGTCACAATGCTTAAAATCCTGTGGAAACTTTCCAAGTTGAAAGGCATCTGCTGGCACTTGAGAAATTCCTGTATTGTCACAAATCACGCGGGACAATGAGTGTTTTTTGAGTTCATGCTTTTGAGCTTCTGTGAAAACACCATCATTTTCCCACCAAAATCTGGAAAGATTGATAGAAACATTATGAAAAGATAAAATTCAAAGAGCTGATTATTCTTACTTTCACAATATCTTATGTAAAAGACCAAAAATAAGAATTACAGCAAAATGTATGTGGATACAACAATAATAAAAGTAAACACCATGATCTGCAGACTTACACACCCAGTTTGAAAGTCACAAAAAGTCTAGTGTGAGTCCGACATACTGGCCAACTCAGATGATGTGTTAAAGTCAGCTGGTTGAAACTATTAATTATTCCTATCTGCAGGATTGTTTTTCACTTGATGATACAGGGCCATAAAAAAAGTTACAGTCCTGACAGAAAAACTTGGAACTAATTTGTCTGAACTGGATGCTTAATCTTATGCACACCAGCATTCAACGTGCACTCATAAATTGTTTTGAGCACAAATTAGAGGAGTATTACAGGAGTAGCTACCATAGCTTTTGAATTGTGCTTACCATTACTGAACGGTTGCTATGAAAACAGGTATTGCCAAATGCTCTCCTCTTTAGTATGGAGTTCTTAATTTGCTGAGAAAGCTGTAGATATGTGGATTAATTACAGTAGACAATTGTGAGACAGTAATTGCGATTTTGATCGTACAAGGAGGTAAACTAAGAGGACTGGCTGGAACAGAGGGGAGCTGCTTTTTCCATTTTGTCAGATCAGGAGTGCGCTGCCAGAACAGAAGAACAAGTTGGTGCTACAAAGGTGTATCTGTTAAATGATATATGTTATATACAATATGTACGTGTGCATACACACACGCATACATATGTATTTAAATGTAAAAAGAAAGGGAAAGAAAACACTGGGGAAAATAAGAAAAGATAAACATTTTGTACATGAAGACATGTCATGAATAGCAAAAAAATATTTCTGGAGAGTTTTATAGCACATCTGCATTAGTACATTAAATAGTGTTAAGCACTGCTATACTGCTAAGATAGTTCCCTGTGGTACTCAGGCCAATTAGCCCAGGTGAGGCTTTTCAGGACAAATTGCTGCCAACAGGAGTGTACTGGTTGAGTAAGGTAAATGCATGTGAAATTTTTGCAAATTGGCTTTATAGGCAAATAGTTACCTGCAGCAGGACAGTTTGGGGAGAAACCTGTCCCACTTTGCCTATATTGGAGGAGGTGCAATCTACAGCACCAGGGATGGAGTGAATGTCCCATACATCAGCAGCGCTGTGACAAGTATGAGAGAGATGGAAGGGCTGGAGAGAGAAAAGGAGACAGATACTTTCCTCCTATCCCTCACCTGCACACTGTCCCAAAACTTCTCAGAGCATCCTGAAACCTCACTGACCATTCCCAGGCCCCTTGCCATAACCAAAGACATCAGAGACTTTGCTTCACTCAGCTCTCCTACACCTGTCATTTCACCTTTCATGTACATTAAAACCTATTCTACTTCCATCACAAAATTCAGTTTTATCTACACTGCTGAGAAGGCTTGAGCAGAAAATTGTTTTTTAATCTACCCAGCAGATAGGCGTGTAATGTAACAAAGGTTGCTCCAATAGATCTATATCAGGTGACCAAAATTTTACAGGTGAATTTTACAGGGTTAGAATAAAAAAAGAAATAAATAAAAGAAAAAAAAAAAGGTGCAAGCCCTCCCATGCAAAAACTGACAAAGTCACCTTCAGAATTTTTCCCAACTATTGCAAGTCCTGAGGTCACAAAAAGATTCAGTGTAGGAAGAGATGGAAAAATAAAGTCATGGTTGATGGAACAGAAACAATTTTTTCCAGGTAATTTGGCTGAGGTTAAGACAGTGCCTGAGTTTAGGACACTGGAAAAAGAAATCCCTTCATGTTTTGTCAGATTACTGACCAAAGATTTTAAGGTTATCAGGGTGGAGTTCAATCAGTCAAAAATTCCACTTAGTTCTGATTTCTGAACTTAAACAAGTAAGTTAGAAGAGATGTTTTGAAATCCCTACTTACTGACACGTCGATTAGGTTATCTAGTAAGCATGTAATGTCACTAGTGCAGATAGAGATAATACCCAATACGCAATCTATTGGCACTACAATGAATGTTAGACTTTTCCGTTCTTATACTTACTGTGTGACAACTATAACGTGTTTTCACTTACTTCTAACTTCTCTTAGATAGTTCCTTATTATAGTATTAATGACAATATCATTTCACATTTAAGTTAGTTAAGACAAACTTTGTGGCAGAAACAGGGAATTCGTTTATTATTAGAAATAAATTTTTCTCAATTTGAAGTTAATGTTAAATTATGCTTAAGTTTAATTAATGCTAGTGGTATCCTAAGACACTGAATAATAAGAAGCATTGTAAAGCACTGAGTAATGGAAACAAGGCTGGAAGGGCCTTGATAGATTATCTTTCCCCAGATAGGGCCAAGTATGCCCGTACAATTCAGAAGACACTCAACCATGTTTTTAATGTAGCTGAGTGGAACGTTTGTTGTCTACACAGTTTGTGCTAACAGGATACCACCTTTATGATTAACATTGCTTTTTCCTGTGAGCTAATTAATTAACATTTTTTAAAGTTCAGATTTAAATTCTGCCTTGGATGCTTATTTACATAATGGTTTCTTTCCACAACAGTGACTTATGACAGGAGCTTAAAGGTGAGCGTAAAGACCAGATCTACTTAAAACACTGCTGCTAGCATGGTGTGAGCAGTTTAAAATTAGTCTTCTCATGAGATTCAAAATTACTGCCACAAGTACATGACAGAGATGAAAAAAAGGTTGGTTTTATAATTGCTTCAGGAGCAGAAGCAAGATACATATGGCATCTTGCACCCCTTTGTGACCTGAAGCAGCATTTCTCCCGACCTCCTGGTATGGAGAGTTGAACTGGCACAAGATGCTGGTGGTGGTTGTGCAGGTTTGGGTGAAGGGACATACGATTCTGTGTCGGATGAGGCAATTCTGGGAGTACTCTGCAGTCCCAGTTCACATAAAACTAGGTACATGGTGTTTTTGTTATCCCCACTAGGAAGCCTGAATTACAACACTCTGCCTCTCCCTTCTGACTTTGCTGTGGTTGTCATGGAGAATGTTGAGGTTCTTCCAGTTAAGGTCCCTGAGCTCCGTGCAGCCCTCAGGGACCAGATAGCTAAAGCCTGCACAGTATGCAGAAGTTAGCTGCCCCTGGCACAATTAACTGCTGGTGGCACCTTGCATTTCCACCAGCAGTGCAAAGTAGGTCATCTCAATACCACAGAAACAATCTCCATGTCATCTGGAATTGAAATTATATACAAACCAAAGAAGAATAAGCAAAAGCTCAACCAACAAAACTGAAGGAGTGAAGTTAAAAGCATGGAAGAGACAGGGAATAATTTGTTTAAAGCTTCTTTAAGTATCATGTTGTCTTATGTTCTGGGAAGTATCCTCACATATCTGTAAAATTTCCATTGCGCGTATTACACAAATGATTCAACAGCATGAATAAACTCACCGGTCACCATTCCTTAGTGCTTTCATCTGCTTTCCAATTATACATGCAAACAGGGGGCCGGTTCTAGCACCTGGAAGAAAGTCTTCTACCAGACCACCAAGCCAAACATCAATATTGCTAGGATTATGGTACAATTCCGTGATTTTTTCAGTGACATTGTGATTGGTTATTACTGTATTCAGGTCAGTTTGCGTTTCCAGTTTTGGTAAGCCACAGAACTCTCGCCAGTCATTATAACCTGTAAATATAATGGTAAAAGGAAGATTAGACTTGGCTGTCAAGAATGACATATGAAATTAATAAATTTATAAGCACTGGATTCTGAAAACCTTAATCATAGTCATAGACCGTTATGTCTAAAAATAAGCTTATTATTATTGGTTAAATTGATCGGGTAAATGATGGCAGGATTGGAAACTACAGGATATGCAATTGCTACATCACTTTAACAAAGGAAAATAAAGGTTTGAAATAATTGTCCCATATTTAAACAAAGGAAACTTGATAATAGACAATAGGAGCATGCACTGTGTCTTGAGTTTTCCAGACTAAGAATACAAGAGTTAGGTGAAGAGTAGGCAAGAAGCAACCTGCATGTAGTTGGTAACTAAAGGGAACCTACTATACGTCTTAACAGCTGATGCAATCAAATTAAGTCGAGACCAGCAGTCTTCCTCTAAGCCAGTACAGTCATGGTCTGAGCTAACACTCCTTGACTGTTAGTTCAATCTTACCTTGAGCTGACTGGAGTAAGAAATCTAGTGTAAAAAAGAGGCACAAATGTGTACTATTGCTCAAAATGAGATGTACACCTAAGTAAGCCATCTACATCGCTCCTGGAGACATCTCAACACCTTCTGTGGTCGGCAGCACCAACAAAGTTTTGTCTAAGTCAAGTCAACCTGTCCCACAGGCTGGGGGCAGCCTGCCAGTGGCAAGTAGCTGCTGCAGGCAGAAACTCCACTCCTCTAGAGCTGGTTCCAGCAAGAGCAAGCCTCAGGTACCTGCATCAAGCACACCTAAGGAAACTCACTAGTACTGTCATTTCAGATTCCAGACTTAACAAGTTATTTTAATTTCAAGTGCTGGGGAATACTTTGTTTCCATCAACGTTAAAAATATTAGCCACTTAACATTTTAAAAGAAACTTAAGATACCTTTCTGACTACTAAAGCTATTATCTAAAAGCTTACGATTACATCCCAAATATAAGCAGTTACAGTTCAATTACCAGTTGGGAGAAAATTCAAGAAAAAACAATAGACCTGGGAGTCCGTGATCACGGCCACGCTGTAAATTTAACGATGCTAAATCAAGTGAACCGTTATTGGACAACACAAACAGTTTTTCTGTTAATTCCTCATTCAGTAGCTGGTCTTGCACCTGCAGTTTTGCTGAATGTGCTAGAAGACCCCTCAGTAAAGGATCCAAGCCTCCTTTAAACACAAAATAGTATCATGTTACAGCATATATATAAACCATTATAACTTTCTTAACAAATGTGAATGCATATATCCTTCTATGTTTTTTAAACATTGGCCACAGGCTTTTACATTCAAACATGTACAATAATGTGCTGCAAGTTGAAATAGAAGTGATAGTGTTATGAAAAGGCTCCATCTGCTTCTTCAGGGGTAAAAAAATTTGCAACCTGATAATACATTCATCCACACAAAAAGAGATATGAAATATCTTCATCATCAATCATCAATCTATTGTCAATCTACCAGACTGGTTTAATCTGGGGAATAACTTTTGTCTGATTGAGAGAACTTTTTAACTCAGAATAATTGTTCCAGTTTATGTTAACGCTCTGGAACCCATTTAACAACTAAAATCAGTGATGTAATTAAATAAATATAATTAAATAAATGAATAAATAATTCAAGATAAGTAACTTTGAAAAATGTTACAATATTCTGGAAAAAACCTCAAACAGTTGAAGTATAATCATACCTTCTTTAATGAGCCTCCAGGGACTAAAAAAGGCTTCATGTAAATGAAGATTTGGAAGTTCTGGATCATCTAAATACTGTGCATTCAATCGCCTTATTATTGGTTGGATTGTTGCATGACCAAAACGAAAAGCAGCTGTTGAAAATATGTTAGAAACTGTAGGATTCATTGTGGGATCATAACCTGTATAAAGGCCAATATACAGATTAAAAGCATCTGGACCAATGATTTTGGGAACGTAATCCCTTAAAGTAATAATCTGAAAGAAAAGAAAAAGACATATTTATCATTCAGTGTTTTTACAGATGAGTAATAATGATTCCCACATGCTAAATACCTTTTTCTTCACTTATCTACCTCCAAGCATTTGGTATGGCTAAGAGCAGTATTAGCTGGTAAACAATATCGTTCTTATTTTTGCAGTAAGGAGATAAATGACTGGGGAGAATCAGTGGCACGGCTCAGTGCCGTACGACAGCCAGACCCCTGCTAGCTCCTACCATAAATGCTAAACCAAAGCCTCTTGAGTAGGGATTACCACTGTTGCTCACTTCCGATCCATGGGGGTAATCCAGCTCGCAGGAGGTGTGCTGAGATTTGAAGCCCTGATTGTAATGGTGTAAATTACAATGCTCTTAAAAATGACAATGAAAGCATGTTACTATAAAATCTTTCCAGAATGGTTGTTGATATGACCAGATTCTATTTTCAGAGGCAGATTTGTGACATAAATCCTCTTTACTGAATATTTGAAATGACCCGGCTTTAAAATACTGGTGCCCAGAATCCCTTTGTAGACATTTTATGCTAAACTCAAGCCATTTTATAGACTCCTAAAAAACACACTTCAAAAATGAAAATGCTGATAAACACCTTCTGCCAAACGCTTTTATAATGTAATAGCATTACAGTCGCATGAAAAAAGCATATGAGTAATCATGACTAAAAAAAAGGGGGAAAACGATGTAATGTACCAAATAAAATGAAAGTGCATTATAGGTTAAAGATTACGTTAAACTCAGTAAAGCATAATGGAATGAATATGAAGCATAATGAACTCAATAAAATACCTTATAGGTTCAGTATAGTGTGCGATAAAATATACAGACAAATGTACTTTGAGCTTGATACAGTGCATAACGAAAAGCTAGCTGGCATAAAGTGACCTTATGAAAAACTTGTAATCTTTATGTTAGGGACAGCACAGAGACAAGCAAATCCCTCCAGAATTTGCTCAGTTTTCTCAGAAAGCAGAGGTAACAACCTTTTTACGTTTTCAGGTTAGATCATGGAGCGAACAAAACATTTGAAACACATTAGGTTAGAATTCCTTTTACAGCTCCTTTAATACAGCATATGAAGAAAATAAAATAATTGCTAGAAATTAATACTGACACTGTCATTTAAGAAGTTAATCTTTTGCTACATTCACAAAGGTTTTGCAAGACAACTGTTCTTTCTAATTTTAGATTCAGAGTTAGTTTTTACAAGCAAAGACTTTAAAGAAGAATAGGTTACCCGTGGACACAAACATCCTGATATGACTCATTTTTTGGCTCATTGTAAATGAAATCACAAACTAAGCTGCTCATAAAGGCCAGATTCCCCAAAGGTAAGTGCAATTCAGATTTTTCATTTGCTTCAGAGGTAAGATTTTGATTTCTTGTTTCCATTGTGGAGGAAGAGGGGTTGCCATTTCAAGACATGAAAATTAAAAGGCTAAGGTAAAAAAGGGTCTTACGCCCGCCTTGAGCTAGGAGAGGCATCTGTTTGATGGAAAAAGTTTGATATTTTACTAAATAAGGCTCCATCAAGTGGAGGTGATTTTTAGACAATACAGAGTAAGAAGATGTTACTAATACAGCAGAAGATGATACTACCAGAAAGAATCTGGAGTCTAAGAGAGAACCGTATCTAAAGTACATCAGCATGTAGCACCCAGTCTTTGTGTAGTCTCTGAACATACCTTGCCTGAATTCATCTGCATGAAGTCAAGGAGGGGCTCACTCCACATTCGCATAACTGACACATATATAGATTTTAAAGAAGGTATAAACAGCTGACAAACATCAAAATTATTTTTGTTAAAATTCTCTGGCATGCTCTCCCTGTTCTGAGAGACTGATTTGAAAGCTTTATTTCCGTTCATATTTTGCATAAATAAGCATAATACTTTCTTTCGATACAGTGTTCCTTCAACAACTGAGATTCCCCTGTGGAAACAAAGGAATATTCTTGTCTAAAAATACATCAATAAAATCAGAGCCAGAAAGGGACTATATGGAAAAGAAATTGCAGACAAGTACAATGGACTGCTCTACCATTTCGTACTTATTTCGAGTCCCTTTATGATTAACAAGATAACTTTCAGGTGTTTGCAGCAGCATAAGGGATTTATGTGGATACAATGAGTCTGAACTTGCAAGGTACTGGGTGGTCCCACTCCTTGTGTCATTTACGAGATTAGTGGTAATCCAAGATCCTCTTAGGAGACATTCAGCATGTCATACTATCAACTCCAAGCTCCACAGAAGTCTCATGAAGAAATTAATTTTAATCAATAATGCCAATATTTCTACCGTGTCACAGCAGTCATTGTTTCAACGGTATAGTTCACTGGAAAATGATGACAAATGGGCACTGTATTTTAAACAGAAGTCCATATGCTCAATATTTAAATTACTTTAGTAGTCTATATGACCCGATAGTAACAGCAGGATTGAGAGTTTTAAATTGTTATTAATTTAGTCATATCAGAGAAAATAAAATTCTGATTTCCTAGCAATTTAATCAATCTTTTGGTAAGTATTCAGTCAGAAACAGAATCTGAGTGATTACAAGACTGTCAGAAAAGGCTTTGCATGGATTTTACATCTTATCATATAATGAATCATATAATGGTGAATGGCGTTAAATCCGGCTGGTGGC